CAAAACGCCCATGGTGCTCCAGATGGCTCCCACAGCTCACAACCTTTGAAACAATATTCGGCTAGATTTGTTCCAAGGCCTCAAGAGGCCAAGTAATGGGAGTAAGGGGTAATTCAATGGTTTTCTCTACCTTTCTCCAAGCTAAAGTTGTTGTTTTCTCTATGAATTTCATGAAAATATACCATCGATACTGCATTCTAGCGAGTAGCAGTTGCCACCGCTGCCGCCGCCTCCACCGCCGCCGCCACCACCGCCACCACCACCACGTTTTCCGCATGTCACGTCGGGAATCCATAGGTTGGATGATCCCGTGTCGAGTACCACCTGAAATACGCCTGTCCTCCTGCCAGCTATCCCAGCAGCAGTTGGGTAAGTGTCATCGGAAGAAATTCAGTTGAAAATGACTTACCCTGAATTCTTGTTCAGGTGTTCCGATGGTGATATTTCCGAGGTATTCCTGGTCATCGAAGTCGCTAACCTAAACCGCTCATAAATATATCCCTCTAAAGCTTTTCTTCCCCGCCTTCCCTGAAGTAAGTAAACGCAAACCCTCTGATGGTATATGCTTTTTGATTTTGCGGCCGACATTTGTATCACAGAGCGAGCAGCATTCTTCATTTTGACATGTTCAGCCCAGGTTCCTTCGCGGATCATTTTCGCCCTTCTTGGTTCGATCTTGACGAGACGAACTTGGTGCACACCTGCCAAGGTGCAGCCCACTAGGGCTAGAGAAGCCAACAGCAGACGCATGAGGCTGAAAGTAGTTTACTTATTATGCCTCCATTGTTCTGTATAAGCTCAAATGAGGGAGGCGGAGGTGGTGTAGTGACAAGTGGCGCGCTTACCACTCGCGCGGTCCTGGGTTCGAATCCCAGGTCGACACCCGCCCAGGCCAACCAAGCCTTCTACCCTCCGGGGACGGTAAATTGGTACCAGATTCGTCTGGGAGGATAAGAACACTGACTTGTACATCGGCTGGCCCCCGCAAGTCATTGTATAGGCCACATCGCATTCAATAAGCCACTACGATTCTGAATGGAAGTAGAATGCGTGCCGCATCCCACAAAGGGATTGATCACGGCGAAGACTCAATCCCTAGTGCCTTAAAAAGCTCGAGTGAGACCAGGTTTGCAGTAGGAACCCAAATTGAAAGAAGTAAAGAGGAGAGAGAGGAGAAAGTGAGGACTTACAATAATCTTTACTATTTTCCTGGCGGAGGATTAAAATTGCCTCGGTGCGACCAAGGCATTGGCAGATAAATCGGATAGAGTCAGTTATTGACCAAAAGCCTAATTTTCTCGAGCCAGGGGAGGGAGTGGAGGGGAAGAAGCATGGGAGGATCCTGAACTTTTGAAGTTTGAAGAGTTCCAGACGGATTCTCCGATTCGTATTTTTGGTTTTCATCAAGTGAAGATCTGCCCCTGCCAACTGAGCATTCGACTCATATAATCTGGGAATGAGAGCCTCATAATGTAAATGATTTGGGGAGGGATAGGCAAAGCACAACCTTCAGGATATCACGGATACTGAGCCCGTAATTCGCAACTGAATCTCCATTTCAACATAGTCGACCAGTCCTGAGGGCTTTAGGGACCTGGACAAGCCTCTTTCCCAAGTGCTCATCGCCACGATTTCATTGTTCTGCCATTGTAGTCGAGCCTGCTTTTGGGCGTAACAGCACTGCCGAAGGGGAGGCTGCGCTGCGCTTGTCTAACAAACGGCGAGCCCGATGGATCTAGTATCTCCTCCCAGTCAGGTGATGGGACCCTCAGATAAGCCGAGGAAGAATAGTTTTCAGAATTGCTTTAGAGGAGTCAGGAACAAGCGCCGCAGATAGGCTAGGGCTTAGTACAGAATCGGATCCTTGAACGCAAAACTCCACTTACCTTACAGATATAAGGCAAAGTTGAATTGGAGAGTTAGTGAATAACGATTTTGAAGAGTACTTCGATTGTCCGCTTTTGTACTTTCATTTTATATAAGGTTATTCAGCTGTACAAATAAGGAACCGCTGGATTGGCACATGGTGTCATATGAAATTTGAAAATTCGTCACCAAAAATGACGACAACTCTCATTGTTTTCATAATCAGCAGCACTTTTGTATTATAATGGTTTCAAAACTCGTCACAAATCCACACAAAATGCGAAATCTTCAAAATTTTGTCCAACGTTGCATCGGTGCCCATTCCTGCTTCTTGCATGGCCTTTAGCTCAGACAAGAGAGTAAATGAGCGACCAGCCTGCACTTTGAAAAGCTGGCATCTTCACCTTTCAGTAAGCCAGTAATTTTTCCATTGGCAAAAGTAATTCATAAACAGCACAGATCAGCAGAAGGGTATGTCCCGCTGTTGAGGTGAATTTCTGCAAAATACGACCCTTTTCCCTTGAAAAATCCATTCGGTCATCCTCTTCGATTTGTCATCCTACCTATCGTCTTCC